TAGACATGGTGGTCACTCAGAGCTTTGTAGACGAAAGCAAGGACAGTTTCTGTGACCTTCTGCGATCGTTCTAAATCGTGGTCGCCATCTGGAAGAACTTCCGGCTCCACAATAGGAACAAGCCCATTCATTTGACAAATTGATGCATACCTCGCGAGCACATTCGCGTTCTCAATCATTGCTTGATAACTTGGCGTGTTGCGACCTATCTTAAGTACGCAACGCCACTTGGCAAACTGGCATCCATCCTTCTTGTACTGTGCACAACGCTGAGACAAATCATCTAAACCCTGTGTTGTGCATTCTCCTTCGGATCCCATGAGTGGTACAACCCCCTTATCAACTTTAATCCCAGGGATCAATTTCTTCTTTTTCAAAAGATCCATCATCGGTGTTCCATTTGATCCTTTTTGGTAGACGGTTTCGTGGAAAAGTAATACACCAGAAATATACTTGCTGATGTCATCAGGTGCAGTAAACAGCAGTTCCCTGTAATCACGACGGTTTTCCTCGGTATTCTCAACACCAACACCACTAAGTCGCTTGCCTACCGTGGATGTCGACTCATCAGCTGCTAGAATACCTTTCCCTGGGGCACAAACAGCATTCGCAATGTCCGCCAACTCCTTCTGCAGCTCCGGTGGTGGGTAGGAAAAGTACGTTGTCATAACTCAGTAATTTTATCGATGAAATGTCGTTAATAAACACACAATTTATCTTTGACCAAAAGTATATAGCAAACTCTGTGGATTTGGCCGCGAAAAAAGATGCTACCATTTTTGAGTAATTAATTTTACAAGGCGCGTGACTTTCACGAGATGCATCAGTTTGTGGTGGACCACTTCTCATGCCGCAGGATAGTGTCTGGTGATATGCAACTCAGCATTCACCAGCAACATTTCCCCCTTTTCACGGCTTAATAGTGGTTCTGTGACCCAATCAGTATCTTAACAGCTAAGCAGACCTTTGCAGTAATTCAGACGTGTGTGCCCAGGAGCTTGCTTTACAGGAAAGACAAAGTGTGCTGGCCTACGGATCTCTGGTGATATCGCAGTTCTGGTTAAGGTAAAATATTTAACTGACTTAGACATCACCCACGAACCGTGTGATATATATATATATATATATATATATATATATATATATATATATATATATATATATAGACAGAGAGAGAGAGAGAGAGAGGGAGATCGATTTTCGTGAATGGTTAAAAACTGACCAAAAGTCACATGCGCAACGGAAACTGGGATATTTGTATGATTGTATAGTCCAATAGCATTCATGACCACACTGTAATGGCTGTGCATGCCCTTCACGTCAAGTAATGATACATGCAGTCTAGTGCTCTTGCGACTCTTCGAAAAACTTCCAATCATGGACCCAAACTACGCTCCTTCAAGCCAATGTAACACATGCGATCATTTTTAATGAAACAAGGTCTCAAGCAAACTTACTGTTAATATTCACTGACACACACACACACACACACACACACACACATATATATATATATATATATATATATATGTCATTTAGTCTCCACATTCCATGCAAAATCCTGTATTCAGATTATAATGTTTGCTTTCATTATAAAAAAATTCAAAAGCTCTTTCGTCGCGCGCTCTTGGACGTGATGTGAATGAATATGTAACGACCAGAGGATTTTCCATTATTTACACACGTATCAATCGTTCGGCTGCAATGATCCCATGGACTCGGATTGTTCTCTTCATAGGCTGGTCGGTCGGAGCTATCAACCTTATGCTTAACAGGGACTTTGGCTAATCACCCTTCCAAGAAGTTGTGTAAAGTTCCTATAAAAAATAGCTACTCTCTTGTCTCGGCTCAAGCCTGGGAGTTCTGGGGCCATTTAATGCATTGTTGCTGCCTGATGTGTGGCATCAGCATTGCGTTCATTTGGCCCAGTCGGCGTCAAGGTAGCCAGAGAACGACTTAAAAAGACTTTTTTTGCTGTCGTAATGTTTTTTTTCGAAGCGTGATCACAGCTATCGAGATTATTGCATTTATCTTTATTCCGCTGCTACGAGTGGCACAACACACCAGCTCACACTAAATGAGCACTGCAGATTAAGAAGCAAAACATCCCTGGGCCTGCTCGACTCGGACCTTGCGGCCTTGACATCGACGACGAGAGCGTCGAGCGATGACGTCAGGGCGCGGTCGCGGATGAGACGGCAGCATGGTCAGACGCGGATAACCGGCGTGCTGGGGGTGCCCCTGCCTGCCGTGCGTGGTCAGCCTCCACCCATATCAGCGCAATTGCCATGGCCAAGGGTTTCGGTTACGTGGTGGCCCATTTAAGTTATAGATTAGCGCAAAGCTACTAGCATCGTTGGTGTGAGTGACCAGCTATGTAAAGGTGGATGGGTTTAGAGTTCATTCTGTCTTGTTTAAAAGAAGTTTTACCAAGTGCAGTGTTTTTCTCGCCGTGCTCTACCGAGTGTGCTACCGAAAAGCAAACCTCGAAAAGAAAAAAACCCGGATCGGTGGCTCTCTCTCAATCACCAGCATAAATGAACCCCGCAGGTGTATGACTGACATCAAGTGGAACGATTGCCTATGGTCATGGACCACGTTTCCATGTTACCAAGGACGGAGCTTCATCGGTTGTTGTAATTTGGCAGTGGCAGTCCGTAGGTATAAGTAAAGCAGGACACCCGGGGCACGCGGCCCGCCTCGCCAAAGACCGGCTAGTTAAGACCAAACCGGCTAGTTAAGCAAGGCGTGACGCCTCGCCGGGGCTCACATCGGATGTGAAATTTGTCAAATGTGCTCACACTTCTGACTATAGTCCGAAAAACATTAATTGTCAGCATCGTTTTGCCGCGACTCGTCCAGGGACAGTTCATTTAAGCGAGGTGTGCTGGACGTTGTCGGCAACTGTTGCTGGGAGGTACGGGGGACGAATATAACGTCATGACCGGTAATCCACTTCTTGGGAGGGCTGCATTCTGTGCGTCCGCCACTTGAAATGTGTAAGCTCACTCAAATAACATCTGACGAGTGGTGAAATCAATGTTTAAATGTATCAACACGTGCTCTGGTGGGGGTCAAATTAACCCCCTCCTGAAGGTTGTCCGGAATTGTTTCCGAATGGCACGGCGTAGCCGCGCCAAATTTTGCATAGCTATGGGCAATTACATATCTAAGGGTTTTACATCACAAATTTAGATCTACCTCGTTAAGTCGCTGACCTATGCAGGTCAAAGTTATGTCATGGTCTTAGCGAAGGTAATTTCTAGGGAATCGTTTAATCTGATCCAACAGCAGTGTTAAACCAAGCCATACAACTCTGAGATTCCTTTTTAGGTAACTTTACCTTTAAGGCAAGCAATTGAATGAACAAATTATATTGACATGGGTCAGGTATGAGGATCAGACCAAAGTCCACACCAACCTATTTTATTACTCTAGCGCTTGCCGTATTGGGTAATTCCTGCTTCTCATTTCAAATTTAGTGATCACAGGAAACGCATTATACACCTACCCATATACTTCCAACAGGTCAAAATAGGTAACTGACCTAGAATGACCCAGGTTAACATTTTGTTTTTAGGAAGATACTGTCTAGCGTACTCGTTGTCGCTTATCCAAATGCAAAACTCAAAACTTCCTCGCATGATTTTGGTTACCATGACCTTGAAAAGGTCAAACAAGGTCACTGATCTTAGATGAACATGTGACCTTTTGCTTACAACAGTTATCTAGGTTCTAGAGATCTTTTAGAGACCAACCAGGAACTTGACCTTGTTTGACCTTATTTCATCCGAAGGTGATAGCCTAGAAAACTCAAACCTTTCACTACGTGAGTTCACATACAGGTCAACACGCCCTGTGAATTTGGTGTCTCTAGGTCCGTTGGTTCCTGAGATCTCAAGGGAGTCAAATTGACCCCCACCCGACCGAAAGGTATCCAAACGGCAACCCGGGCGCGTGTTAAGATCAGAAATGCAACGGACCATGTGTAGAAAAGTATAGCGTTGCTCCTTTCAGGGGATGGCCTCAAGCCGTTGGCAGCGGCTGCGCTAAAGGTCAGACTGCGTTAGAGGGCACGACGGCAATCGTCGAACATAACGACTCATTTAGCTTGCGGCACAAAAATCCGCGGCTGACCTGGAATCTTACGATCGGATGGTGAGGTCGATGCTTGCGCAATTGGCACCAGGCCCCGCTCGCAGAATTTCATGTAATCCACATGTTTGAATTAAATTTTTGAAGTAAAAATACGAGAATAGTGACGGCTATCCTTGATATCCCGTAATCTTTAAAGCTTTTTGCAGTTTGTAAGTTCACCTTGCAAGCCTTCCGAACTGGTTTCGAATCTTCATCGGTTTCATCTATGTTTGGAGTGCATCCATGAAAAGAACCCTTTGTTTGTAATACGATATACTTCCGAGCTGAAAAATGCCAGTCGAACCACCTACCATGGGAGACCTGACAAAATCTAAGCAACACATTATAGCCCTCATAAAGCATGGACGATACGGAACATAACACTTAACGTGCGGCAACTTGTGCACAGTAACGCAAATGTACTGAAGGAAAAATCCGTTCAAAGTCTTAATAAGTAAAAAGTCTCTAACAAAGCCGTAACTACAACATTCAAGTGCACTGACAACACAATAGAGCAGCCAACACTTGGAATTACTCGCAGGCCGCAGCGTGAATCTGTTCCCGTTTGTCGCCTTGGAGTTGCAGCCCTTAGGTAGTAATGACGACTGGGCGTGGGAGATGATCATCTGCGTGTGGCCCATCAGCATGGGTAGGGAAAGGAGCTACATTCTCAGGGTAGCTGAGGCCGTAGTCTAACGTCCCATACTGGCTCTCCGACAATGCCAGGTTGTTCTCATCCGGTTGCCGAACCCACGCAATTGACCCAGCTTCGCGACCTGGCAGCTCTTCACGTTGAACAATGAGCTCACTGTAGCGTGTGTTCAGCTCATCACGGCCAGTATCAAGTTCATCTTGAAGGGCGTCTAGTTCTTCGTCACTGAGGTCGCGTCCTCCTGCAGCTGCCTCGCGCCCAGCGGTCTGCCCGGCGCCACCTGGGGCAGCTGTTTTGCCATCAGGTTGAGCCTGTCTGCCGGCCGAGAGGCTCGGCTTCTGCTTGGGGCTCTCCGGACGGGACGGACGGCTGCCGCCTCTGCGTCGGATGACGACTCGGCGCCGAAGAGGCCGGCCGGCCACGGGCCGCGACGTGCCGCCGCCCGTCGTCGATTTCTGCTGGGGGACCCGCGGACTGTCTTGAAGGTTGTCGCCGTAGACGTCGTTGCTGTGTTCTTCGTACTGAGAGTTGTGTGCGCCGAGCTCGTTGGTGTAGCTGATGTCATGAACGCTGTGCAAGCTGCCGACGCTCTCAGTGGCTCTGATCTCGTTGGCGATGGTGCTCCCACCGGGATGGTGAAGGGAAGCGTGTGATGCCGGTGTTTCTGCGAACCCACCCGCCTCCGGGACGAAGTGGGAGCTCCTCGTGAGGGCGTTTCTGGTCTGCGGTCTGTAGGCAAGAAACGGGTCCGCGTTTACGCCCACGAAGCTGGGGAGGATCGGAAAAAAGTCATCCTCGATCGTCGAAAACATTTCTCGTCTCGCGCTCACTGGTACCCTGTTGGAGGCGGCGGCTGGGGGCGTTGACCTGCTTCTCCTAATGAGGTCTTCCCTCCTTCGGATCAACTCATCCCTGTAGCGGAGCAGCGCCTCGCGATGCCGAACCAGCTCAAACCTTCGCTCAATCAGGAGGCGCCTCTCCGCTCTTCCTGACAGGGTGTCCTTGTTTCGGATCAGGTCATCCCTGTTCTTGATCAGTTCGTCTCTGTTTCGAACAAGTTCGTTCCTGTTCTGTCGCAGCCGATTGCTGTTTACCCTCATCTCGTCAGAGGGGACACCCAGGTCCACCCCGGGCGGCTCCTGGGGTGCCTCTGTGGCGTCAACTCCCGAGGGTATATCCGCGACCGCAGTTGGGGCTCTGGTCTTTGGCGGCTTCGGCGGGTCGACAGAAACGACAGAGGTCGACGTCTGCTCGAGGTCGCTGGTGCATCGACCCCTCACCAGCTTCTGGCCGGGCAGGGCACACACCGTACTCCTGCAGGCGCGCATGAACGGGTCCCAGACGTCAGTGACCCCGCAACGGAGATCCTCGCCAATCACCAGCTCCAGTCTCACCATCAGCCCACGCACGGGGGACGCTAGCTCTGGATCCTCGCACGGCGCGCTACATTGCGCCTCCTGTACCCTTCCGCCGCTGCAGCGCAGACAGTAGACGTTGCGGTAGGCCCGCCCACCGCTGTAGATGACCGCGGTGTGGTTCCGGCAGAGCCGCAGCAGCTCCGGGTCGGCGTCCGGCGAGCAGGAGGCGACGGCCGGCCGGCAGGCGCGCGGCCACAGGCCGGCCGGGGGCTGCGGGGTCAGCGCGCACGTGGCCAGCGCCCCAGAACGCAGGCGCAGCGCCCAGCCGTCGCCGACGGACGGCCGCAGCCCGGCCAGCACGGCCGCCGCGTCCAGCGACTCGGACACGGCTGGGCAGGTGGCACGCACGCGCCAAAACTCCAGCCGCGCCGTGTCGCCGTGACAGATGGCGCAGTACACGTTGCGGTAGGTGACGCCCGAGTCGCGGCTGGTCACCGGCAGGGCGGCCAGCGGGTCCACACGCGCAGAGGTCGGCCGCTCACAGAGCCGGTGCGCCGCGGCGCCGCGCGGACAGGCGTCGCGCATGTACCAGTGGCCCGGCGGTGCTGCGGCGGCGGGCAGCGGCGTCAGCGGCACCGCCGGGCGGCACGAGAAGGCCCCGGGCACCGCGGCCGCTGCCGGCGCGTCGCGGCAGCAGTCGCCGTAGCGCGCGCACTCGGGGTCACAGAAGCAGCCGCGCTCACGCCAGGAGCGGCTGGCGCGCGTGTCGCGGCGCCACCAGCTGAGCGGCGAGCAGGAGTGGTGGTCCGGGCAGAGCTCCGGCGGTGTCCGGGGTGGAGCGGCGCTGTGGATGCCACCCCGAACCACGTCCAGCACGGGGTGGTAGGACACCGGGTGGTGGTCTCTAGCATCGTCGTAAGAGGAGCTGTCCGCCGGCTGCTTGGACCGATGGTCGTGGACCACGGAGTCGTGTTTCTTCTTCCAGAAGTCCTCTGGCGGAAGGGGATGCTGATGCTTGGGACGGCCACACGTGTCGCAGAGAGGGTCGTCGTAATGTCGCTGCTGGTCGTGGTCACTGGGCGGCGGGGAACCGCCGTGCTTCTCGCGGAACTGTCTGACGTCCTCTCGGATGGCGTTCAGAAGCGGATCATCTCTGAGTGGGTCCAGCCCGCCTTTGACTGGCTCCGGAACCGAAATCCTCCCGGGTACGCGAGCACGTGATACCAGAACTCACCGGGCTCCCGGGGATCCGGACGTGGAGGCTGCAGAGCGCCCTCTGAGCTTCGGGCGGCGCTCTTCCAAGGGTCCTGCGCTCGCGACCTGAGACCAGAGTCGCCCTGGTGCCAGTTGTTCCAGTCGCTTCCGTGCCAGTTCCGCTGATACCAGCTGGAGGCATCGTCTGCGTGCCAGCTGTCCTGTCTCCAACCTGCTCCCCTGCCAGCTCGAGTGTATCCAGCGCCGGATTGGTGTCGGGGCTTGGACTGACCTGCACTAGGTAGCCCTCCGTTTCCGAGCGCTGAGCTGAGCCCCGCAGGATGATCAGCGGCGGTGTCTCTCCACAGCCCACGCACCTTCCGAAAAACGACGTCCGTCTGCAGGTCCGCCTGCCGGTCCGCCTGCTCGTCTGCCTGCTGCTGGTCCCTGGCCTGCTGCGGTGGCTGCGACCCGCTGGCCAGCGGCTGGCTGTCCTGCTGAGGCGGCAGCAGCTGGGACCCGCTGGCCAGCGGCTGGCTGTCCTGCTGGGGCGGCAGCAGCTGGTGCGCTGTCCCGCTGCATAGCAGCAGCGCTAGCAGAAGGTACCGGCGCATGCTGTAGATGCTTCTGACGTTTGCAATGCTAACGGGCACGGCTGGAGTCACAGCCCCACTCACACGACTCTGACTCCAGCTGGAGATGTGAACGCCCGGCCCAGCGCAGACCAGCGCGATCAAACGCCCGCTCGGCCGCCGGGCTGTCGGCTCGACAGTCCTGCCCGTTGGTGGCAGGCGCGCTCAGAGAGGCGAGGCGCAGCCGTCTGCGGTGCAGGAGCGAGCGACACCCGCAGCCGGCGCCTCGACACTGACCCCCCGCACTGGCGCCCTGCCGTCCTCATAACGCGTGCCGTCGCGGCAGGAAACGCTAATTGGTTCGGCCGCTTTGATATGCGGCTGGGGCGAAAGCGAAAGGCCAGGTGGAGGGAGGGCTTACGACGGATCAGCCTCAATGAATGGAGGCGCATGCCTTGTGGGATTCAGCAGACTTGGTGTGTTTACCATGGCGGGATGCGTCCCGTGCATGTCGTGCAGAGGGCGTGTCAGGCGTGGAAATAACAATGCAATCGTTGGTATCCTGCTGAAAGGGCGAGGACATTGCCTTAGTGAAAGAGGATTGACTGTCGTGCCATGGAATTAGCTGCGTTACATGCTAATTCTACAACAACGAAATAAGCGGTGTCGGCAGGCAGTTGTGAAAAGAACAATAACTTATAGTTCATGGTACCTTTAAATAGCGCCAAAAAGAGGATAGACGTTTCACCTCGAATGTTTTATCAGTGTATCAGTTCCGTGAAGCTTACGTGGCAGTCATCGGTGCTTCAAGGCTGCGCCTCATACCATACCATGCCTGTCGTACACACGTGCGGTGTTTTAAGCTGCCGTTCGCTGGCAGACTACCGACGTTGTCGGCAGGGTAGCCGTACATTGCGGCGGACAGCCTGCCATGACGTCAGCATTGATCTGCACGGCAGAGGTGGCATCATCTATCATTCAAGCTGGCGTCACTGGCAGAGCACTCAGGTGTGAGCTCGGTGGGGGAGCGTCTCGGTTAGCGTATAGGTCAGAATAGGTAGGAGCATTGCTCGTGGATGTAAACATACTTCTAAAAATAAAACAAATATTGACCCGGCGCAAGAATGCGCGCCATCGTTTTCAAGCCCATACATTGCTTAGAGATGGTAGCTATCGTTTGTATGTATATTCTAGCTTATTGCTACATTCTCAGCAACATGTATGAAGGGCATATGTATGAAGGGTAGGGTACACCTAATGATCTATTCCAGGTTCATTCGGGGCGGCAGGGAAAGCATGTTGTGTCCTTCGAGATTGAAGGTTTGCCGCCTTTCCTGCGCAGAATATGGGTCGTCCAACACATTGCCGCGAAATCTTCACCAGGACAGATGGTTCTGAGAGAAAATGTGAATTATTGACGCCCTTTAACACATGGTTGGTGCTCGTTCAGAATAATCGCGTTGCGTTGCGTAGCAAACTGCAGGCATTGTTTTCATGAACGCGTTTATGGCCAAATGTGTTGGAGGACATTATCTCCCGTGATGTATAATCGCGCGGCTGCCTGTCGCAGACAATTGTTAAGTGGAAACTTGGACGACATCATAACATTGTCTTTGGCCAAAAGTTTGCATGCGTAACTAAACAAGTGTGGTCATCAGAGCTGACATACGTTTTCGCCACACTGTTTACATTGATTGTCACGAAAATGTGCCACGAGAGAGCATCGGACGCGGTTGCCAGCTCCCGTGACGCATGTGTTATGGTGGATGTGCCAGTTGGGCCAGGATGGGACTTCGGAAAATAAGCTCGGGGTCCAAGCACAAAAAATGGTTAGGCATCATCCTAAAGGCGCTTAAGAACGCGTTTCCCCACGGATTTGACCGACTTCCTTCTCACAGTTGGTGGAGAAGGGCTGGACCCCCCCCCCCCTCTCCCCCTTTCATCACATTTAAATTGGAAAGTACATCCCCGAGACCAAGAAAGCAAGGAAACTTCGAATTGCCGCGCGTGGAGGCAAGAATAACCGCGCAGGCTGATGTTCATAACATTACAGCCAGCTACGTGCCCCAACTGTAGCACAAATTTACAGCAAAAAATGCGATACAATCACTCATCCTAATTTAGTTCCTCCGTTTTGCACGGCTCGGATATCATTCAAGAAACTCGGCTAGGGCTATGTTTAACCCTGAAACGGTCGCAGGTTAGAGGCAACAAACACGAGTGTTTTTGTGTTCCTTCTGAATGCGAAACGGTTGTCCACAACATGTGTGCTGGAGGCGTGATTGGCCAAACTCAGATTGGTATCCTGACTGTTGTTCGTTCCGGACACACTGATTCGTGAATGGGGTGTCATCGCGCTTGGGGTATTATGGACGGTGTCTGGACATAATCGCATCACCTTATATTCATCTTAACTGCGAAGTCCTACTTTTCAAGCCTAGCGATAGCACTGGCGTAGTCCGTGACAAACACACATCAGCGCGAAGATCCGTTATTTTCGCGCGTTTCCGCCAATACCAATGTTCACAAAGCCATTGGCTCTCTGAAGCGCAGTCAGTCCGGATTATACCGGACATTGCCGGACATTATAAACATTCGGTGCATTTTGTCGTGAGACTTGGCGCTGCCGACCCAGATTTATCTGGAATGAAATTAACATAACATCTCCAGTCGCGGCCAGCAGCCGGGCTACCGCGCAGTTTAGTGCACAAACTGTTTACTTGACGGCGGAGCAGCGACAGACCATATGAGGCGCAGCTTGCTGTTTGCGGTCAGATTCTTCCGAGGCGAGGCCGGGCATGGTCTGGACGCCGCGTCCCGCTCAAGAGTCCTGCACTCTGGAGGAGTCCTGTGTTGTGTGAGGGTCGCGTGGAGCATCCTGCTCAAGTCAACAGCTAAGGCCCGGGCCTGGCGCAGGGCCCACCTTCGGACAAGTTAACGACCAAACGACACATTTTCGAATCAGGTTAGGTCGCTCTGACATAGAGTTGCAAAAGGCCCGCAGCCTGGGTGCAGCGGGAAGTGAGCCTTAAGCTCGTGCCGAGCGGTGCACTGGGCGGTCAGGACCATCAGGATCAGGGGACGGACCATGAACCGCGTCTGCCTGGCTCGCCTGACCGGGGCGCGGGCGTCGCTGGCGCAGAGCGTCAGAGGGGTGGCCGGTCAGGAGCGCCTGGAGCTGGAGACGCGTCAGGGCGCTCCGGGCGTCAGAGGCGCGGCGGAACAGGAGAGGCCCGAACTCGAGGTCCGCTCGGACATCTTCTCGGCCCGCCCCACGCGGAGCCTCTTGCGGACGCTGGCCATCTATCAAGTGTGTGCCGTGGACCGAATCGTTGACAATAGTCTACAGGTGAGTAATATCTTGTTCAACGTAGCTGTGATGATGTGGGCGAGAAAAGTCATGCGTTTGTGATGACTGGCTGAACACGTCGGCATATTAAAGAAGGGGCTTCACATTTATGTGTGGTTTTGGGCTGAAATGGCCACCTTGAAGACCTTTCCATGCTGTTGGCAATCATGTCCTTGTTAAGACCTACGCCCCTCAAGTTTCCGAGCTACACGCCCGAGAAAATGGGGAAAGGTGTATGGGGAAGAGCATTTAAATGTCACCTTGGTGTTTATAACGTCATAATAATGTCACTCAAATGTTGTCGTTCCGAAAGCCATGCGGCAACCAACGCCAAGAAAGATATAACCGTCGAGGTGTTCATATCTGACGCCCGTGAGCACGATTTCCAGATAAAACAGCCCTTCAATTGGGTTTCGATAAATTTTTGCGAGGTACAATGACGTAATCAAACCATGACCTGTTGAGGAGTATATTAAGTAAGCAGAGTATTGTGCCGCCTAGAGCAGTCTTTTCCACTTAAAAAGCATGCCAATTTTTATAAGTGAGTTTGTTTCATCACATCTGATACTTGCATTAATATCTCCAAATACGAAACATTCCCTTTGAACATTATGCATCTACGTTAGCACCCCAGAATGTAGATGCAATGAGCAGAAGTGGCATGTATGGAGCAGGTGCAAAGTAACGTGCCTATCAAGAAAATGCGCTAACATGTTGCGTTTGAGTGCTTGTGTCTCCCAAATCGTTCCTTTGTGGCGCAATCGCAAAGCGACCTCAGTTGTAATCGCATCCTTTAATAGCAGCCGCGCTTTTCGTGTCGTTTATGCTCCTCACAACAGCTTCACTCACTCTCAAATTAAGTTGTACGTTTCGACGATTTTCTGTACATCATATGCTGAACTCATCGCCATAAGAGAATCTTACCAACATACGACGGCAGAACAGCGTGCACTCGCCCTTAATGAACTAAAGCGCGATGAAAGTGGTGAGAACCCTCCGTCTAGCGCAGTTAGCGGCTACATCACCTCTACCACATCCCCTCCCGCACTCTCAAACGGTTAAGTGGGTGCCAAACAACTTTTTGTCAGGACATAGCGAAAGCCATGCGACGGACGGTCACGGTGTATATATATATATATATATATATATATATATATATATATATATGTATACACATATATATATATAAACATGCATATATATACATATATATATATACATACATATATATATACATATATATATATATATATATACATACATATATATGCATACATATGTATATATATATATATATATATATATATAATATATGAGCATATCGTTAAACCAGCCAATCATTGGGCGCTGGTTCTCCACTGACAGCTGCTACGATTGGGCGAACGGCTGCTGGGCTCACGCCTGCTGCAGCTGTTGGCGCAGCCGTTCTACCGGCAGTTCGTGGCTGGTGCCGAGCAGCGCGAGCTGGCGCAGGTGGCCGCCACGCTGCAGCGCGACAATATCCAGCTGATGTTGACCAGCATGCTTGAGGCCGACGTAGACGAGGAGGCAGCCAGGTGAGCGGGCGGGCTCGGCAGTGACGGCGCCCCTCACGCGGGACCACTGTCGGACTGGAGTTGCTGGCCCCTTGGAGCAGAGTCCGTCACGTGGGTGAGGCGAAATGAGGGACGGTTGCGGACGTGAAGGAGGATGGATGCCTCATCGAGGGAAGAGACCGTAGATGCTAGTGCATGCGTGGGGGAAGGGGATGGAGGAGGGGGTTACTGACCGGTGTCGGTGTCGGACAGGAGAGAGGACGGAGGAGGGGTTACTGACCGGTGTCGGTGTTGGACCGGGGAAAGGACGGATGAGGGGTTACTGACCGGTGTCAGTGTCGGACCGGGGAGAGGACGGAGGAGTTGCTGACCAGTGTCGGTGTCGGACCGGGAAGAGCGAGGCAGAGGGCCTGCTACGGTGATCGGTAGTAACGTCCCCCAGATTCACATGGTTCCAAGCGCGCGCCTCACCGAAATCTTCCTGTTTGCTGTGAGACTGATCTTGAAAGCAGGAAGAGACTGTATTGCGTGCTCAAAAACGTAGCGAGTCCTTAAAATTGCAGGTGGTAATATTTTGAACGTATGCAACCTTTGCTGTCAGCGGCTCTATGCCTTAGCAAGTGAATCTGTCGTCTAACGTTTTGCGTCTTCGGTGAGGACTAACGGAGGGCGTGTTGGCAGTGAACGGCAGCTGGCGGCTAACCTAAGATGACGTGTTGGCAGCGAGCGGCAGCTGGAGGCTAACCTGGAGGAGGCTCTCAGGGTTCTGACCATCGTCCGAGAGGTGACGGCCGGCCAGGACCAGGCGGCCCTCCAGGCCAAGTTCACGGCCCATCTGAACGCCGACCTGCTGGTGAGGGCGGCACCGCGTACCGCCAGCTCTGCTAAATGTGAACGTGAATTGGGTATAACAGTGATGAGAGTGAGAACAGTGGCAGTTTATGAACCTGTGTTCACGTGGATTGGATTTAAATGGTGTCTCAGCTGCTGATCTGCGTTTCACTTTGCTTGGGAATTTATTCATACAGAAGATAGAGATAGAAACAAAGGCGCCATTTATTTAGCTCGTGCATCCCGCTCAAATGATCCAGCAATATTGCTAATCCCTCACCCGCACCGACTCCGACAGGTGCATATCTCGCGGGTATTCTCCTCCAGCGAGAGCCCGTCCAGTCTAGTCGAGCAGTTAGCGAACGCCATGGTGACATCAGGTCAGGTCAGCGTACCAGGCTTGACGTCAGAACAGCAGTACGCCTGGGACTCGTGCGTTCGCCGCCTGAAGACGCTGGGTACGTTAAAGCGACTGGGCTGGCATTCCTTGCGTAATGTTTCATTCATCCCAGGTTTGATTGCCACTCACCACCCCGGCGAGCGTTGACCTGGGGCTCGTTTTGACAATACGAAGCATCGACAAACCTAATCGATAGTTTACCTCATGTGTGGATGAATAATTTTGAGAGTTGTCACCCCATTCAAGCATGAATCACATCTCCTGAGATGTGGGGAACCAGAAGTCGTTCCTGAGCTTTGTCAACAGTTAGATGTAAAACGAATGCTCGAGGATTCCGTCGAATACACGTGTCATATACCAACCACAAAAGGTGGACAACCCACTCATGGTTGTCGGCATTATTCTTTTCCCATGCATGTCAAAGATGATGGACGACTTTTCATGCACGAAAAAGACATCATGCAATTAGTAGGCTTCATATGTAGGTCAGGCAACGTCGCTTTGCTTGTCACATCAGTGCACGGCCTTTATTTATAGGTTATTTATCTCCATCTCTCGTGTAGACTAGTGCGCTCGGACGGCAGCCTCAAAGCCGCACCACACTCCCGCGTTTGTAACCAAGCGTCTGGGCGGCAGGCGAGGCCTGCGCAGACAGCGGCATGCTGATGTTTGTGGACGGCGAGTTCACCTACACAAACCCGGCCATCTCCTGGCTGACGCTGGCACTGATGGCGGTGTTCAACCAGCGGGAGGCCTTCATCAGGGGCACCCACCAGTGCTACCTCAAGGTCAGCGTCAGCGATGCACACTAGCGCTCCACGGACTTCACCGTCAGGGCGCCCTCCAGTGCTGGCTCAAAGGCAGCGGCGGAGGGCATGCACTAGGTATGCCCCGGGTCAGCGTCAGCACTTGACGTGGGTATCATCCCAACTCAGCATTGGCGGCGTCCACCAGAGTGACCAAAACGTGTGCCGGCGCCCACCAGTGTAAATGAAGTCATTAGCAGGGGTGTCACCTTGCATATTTTCGGGAGGGCCTGAGGGCCTGAGCTCGGTGAGAGCTCATCATGCGAATTTTTGATTTTCTTTCAGGAGCCACCTATGGTAAATGCTAATTATATATCCACCCCACGCTCACCCACTCCTTATCGTGAATTATTTTGTGTATCCCTGGGGGTACCTACCAGCGCGGCCACAAGACCAGGACTCAGGTCCAACACCCAAGCTGTTCCTGACAGGCGTGAGAGCTCTCACCGGCAGTCGATTGCATGCGCTGGTGATTCACACTCGGTGACAGCGTCCGCGGGCCTCTGTCTCCAGGCGACGCCAGCTAACCTGGAGCGCGAGTACGCCATCTGTCAGCAGCTGGGCGCATGTTTTGGCGGGAAACTGGTGCGCGGCGCGTACATGGCGCGTGAGCGACAGCTGGCGCAGCAGGAGGGGCGTGCCAGCCCCGTCTGCGACAGTTATGAGGCGACCACGCTCAGCTATACGCGGTGAGCTACTGCAATACTCGCAGGGACTTCTCCTAAGCTCTAACATAGCGGAGTATTGGTCATTAGGCGAGGACTCGCAGCGACTGGTGTCACCTCTTCTCGGCAGGCAAGCTGCAAGGGCAAACAGGCCAGCTGCATATGGTGGGCACCTTTTTCCTCGCATTCCTGTGTCTTGCTTAGTTGTGAGTATTTATACCCTGTTTTTTTGGTCGTGGATCGCTCTATTAACGTCGATGTTAATGACGGATTTCCAGTGCTGTGGAGTTTGCCCTGCGACGTGTGGCGGAGGACGGTGGGCGCACCCAGATCATGGTTGCCACGCACAACCACGAGTCCATCCTGCACGCGCTCGGGTCAGTTTACCGGTTCTCGCATTGAGTGGGAGACAAGGCTTGAAATAGTACAATGGCGTTTCCATAGAGATGCAAGGCTGTGGGGCGTCATCATTAAGCTAATGCGCCAGCATCACACTGCTGGATTGGGCCAGTGCTGGGCTCGCGCTCGCATAATTTCACCACCCTCTCCCGGTAACATGAACCAGCCCTCGGTCCTCAAACTCACCTCTCCCGGTAACATGAACCAGCCCTCGGTCCTCAAACTCACCTGTCCATGCACGACTTCATGCGCTTAGCCACGACGTCGTCAGTTCTAGCTGATCGCAACTTCACCTGCTACCGCTAGTAGCGCCTACCACCACGTTTCCTGCCAACCATGTCAAATCCAGCTAACCCAGTCTGGCCGCTTCTCCTGCAGGCTGGCGCGCCGGCTGGGCGTGGTGCCCTTCAGCGGTGGCCTCGCCTTCGCCCAGATCTACGGCATGGCCGACTACCTGACGGTGCCGCTGGGACGCGCTGGTCACCGCGTCTTTAAGGCGGTGCCGTTCGGCGAATTTACCACGGTGATGCCGTATCTGTCGCGGCGCGCCGCCGAGTCGCGGCTCGTGCAGCAAGGGGTGCGAGTGGAAAAGCAGCTGTTGCTGCGCGAGCTGGCCAGCCGGTTTGGGCTGCGCCGCCCGGCCACCACTTGAGTGGGGGGGGGGGGGGGGGCTGTTGCGTGGCTTTAGAGTGGTCATCACGCGGTCTCCGTCGCCTGTGAAAACAGTGCCGGTGTCTACAAGGCTTGTGAGAACGGTGTCGGTGTTTCCACTGTCTGAGGGGGCGGCGCGAAATCTTCGCCGCCTGATAGCACGGTGCTGAGTTCCGTCTCCTAAGAGGAGGACAAAGCGTATGATCCCCTGAGAGGTGAGAGGTTAGGGTATTTCTGTTCCCTGAGAGAACAGCAAGGCATTTCTACTTTCTGAGAGGATAGCGCCAGACCTCCACCGCCCTAAGCAGAAGCTGCGTGATATCCTCTGCAAACATTGTCCGCCCCTGAGCGGACAACGGAGGTTTTCCCGAATACACAGAGCGAGTAATGTCTGCTTGAGAAGGCATTGTTAGCACCCCGCTAATTGAGTGTGCAACTCAGGGTGTTCTCAGTGAACGATGCAGTGTCTAATGAGCAGCTGTGAAATTCGCCGGGGATTGGGTGCATTGCGTGGCCTTTGGACGCAAAGATAAGGCACAATAACCGGCGCACTTTAATGGCTGTGTCGCACTTGCGAAGGCGTTATCAGCCCGTGCAGGGGTAGAGTTTCCGGGTGGTCGTGCTATTATCGCGGGTGTCCCGAAGGTACAACATGGCAGTATGCGGAGATTCCCCTAGCACCCAGAACAGAAGCACAATGAAGTGTATCGGTGCCTCTATTGCTGTGCTGTCCTGGTCACGCCAATAAACAACACGCTGCGCTAACGTGCATATATTCGCTGCGATACATTAGCGTGGTTCCTTTTACAGTGTATTTGTGCTCTGATTGGTTAAGAAATGCTGTGATTTTCTTTCTACGTACGAATAAATGCTCATGCATTTAGCGAGTTTCTCTCAGAGGTAATGAGACTGTGTTACAGCTTCTAAAAAGCATGATTGGCTCATATGCCGATGGCACTGGGCCTCTGTCTTCGGTCCACGTAACTTCCCTTCATTCTGACTTATCGGTGCGTTAAACTATCGGTGACCATCGAAACTTACGGTAACTATAAACTGACTATCGGTGCGCTGTCGGTGCGCTAAACTGTACCTGTCTGGCCCAAGCAATGTTTCGCTCAAAAACTTACGAGGTTTATACAAATCCGGACACGCTATAACCGCTGAGCAAAGCGCGAAATCTCGCGACGAAACGGCAGCCCATCCCCTGATCTGTGCGTCCTTGGCCTTCCCGCGACTATCGCATCGCTTTATCTTGCCTATTGTTCAACTGTATCGACTGAGGTCAAATTTGTGTCCGAAGTCTCGTCTATCGGGGTCGCATGGGGATGACAACGTTTCTTCAGCGGCCCGGGACTACAGGCCCACTGTCTTGGACGGTCGGGCGTTACCTTCTTCGGAATACCACGGCCCAGCTAATGCCATTGACCGCTTCCGGAACCACCAACAGCGTCTAGGTCACTTAAAAGCCTAAGAGAGAACTTGTAGCTCTCATTGCATGGTCTTACTAAGTGGACCTAATGCTGATCATAGCAATGCCCAAACACATTTTGGCTTTTGACATGATGTGTGTCTTGGATGTCATGGAGAGCAGTCCCCAACAGAGGGCTACGCCAGGCTTCCTACCGTATGGAGAGTGGATTGAGGATTGAGGAACCGCTTCAAGTGGGTTGAACACAGGAGCGCAGCAGTTGTTACAATGCGTTTTTGAAGTTCCCCGAGAATCTGCCGCCCTGGAAGTGAGGAGATAGCGAAATCTGTCACACCTACGTTGCGGCGCGGCCAGTCTTGGTATGGGGGCGACACAGGATTATTAAGGGGACCCTGCTGCTGATTTCTCCTTCCCCAAAAAAAGGTTTTTGTTTTCAAAGAGGCATGATTCTTTCAAAAAAGAAGCCAGAAGCCCCAGGAAGATGCGGTTCCCCTTGTGCATTGAGGTCAACATATTGAACACATCAGTGATTAAATAACTGCGTCATATAAACCACAGGCGCTATGAATTTTAAATGGTTCAGTGTATGTTTCCTAAATGAATAGGATTCAGAGGCTTTGTTGGAATTTTTCGGGATTTAATAGATACTGAGGACAACGTGGATTTAACGTTGGTTATTGACTTGAATGTGTCAAAAAAAATGTAGTGACATGAGTCAAGATGTTCAGCCTTCATTCAAAATGGGTCATTGAAACAACTGTGTAGCCGTTTCAGCCACGCACGCCCGTAAGTCTTAAAACAAGAACCTGACGCCTGGAGTTATAGTCTCACAGGTTGTGCGGCGTTAGCCGCACCGTGAGCACTTGACGGCGGCCAACAGGCGGAAGAACACACACACGTATCTGAAAGAAGTGCGTGCAAATCCATAATGCATCAATTCGTGCACTTAGAAGGCAGTCCGGGCCGTGATTTCACCCGTGCGATTCTCAACTTGGTACCGGGATACTGAAACCAGGAACATGCTAGTATTGACGGTGCTGAGAACGTTTAACGTAATGGTGATATCTCTGTTTATCGTGTTGCAGAAACTGTTCAACAGATCAGAGGACAACCAAAAAAACTACGGGAAGAATATACACCATGCAGTCTAAGATTTATAAGTAGGGAATGAATTCCGAAAGACTTTCGGAGGCATGATCTCACCACACATGGTCGTTCTCGCGCGCATGATGCCCTCTGCTTGTTGTCAGCTGCAGTGGCCACTCGTTCTTCTTGACAAAAAACTACAATCCCGACGTCGATATCCTTCCCCTTACAGATGGCGAGCGCTTAAGTTGAGAACATTTCGATGCGATGTGTTTCATTAGGATATCTTGAAAAAGAGTTGACATCCTCGGAAACAAATTTGAACCTCCATCGATCCGCTCTCTTAAACGCTAAGGAGACCATTTGCCTTTCGCGGGCGAGAGGCTCCGTAGCTGGAATACAGGGAAGCGCATTATCTTTCCGGGTCATGGGCTGAAGGGCCCTCCTCCCCAACCAGGGGTGCCTACGTGCCGCCATTCTGACGAAACGGGTCAGTGGCCTGGTGGTCAATCTGAAGAGCTTCATATACATGGTGCATCGGTCCCCTCCCTTATACGGAAGGCCCCCTGACGGGAGCAGTTGGTCCTGGATCGGCGCTGACGCCGTGAAGGACGTAACAGTATCCCTTAACGACATGGGGGCCCGTTAATTGCCACAAGGACTCCAGTTCAGCTAATCAAGGCACGGACTAATTTGGAGAAGGTGACCCCTTCGGTACTAGAGCCCCTGACTGACACGTGGTCTTTACATGAGCTCGCTGCAGACCCTTTCGTCGTAAGCTCTCATTTCTCATTTCATTGCTTCCTGAGACAGAGAACCTCGAAGCGTCCAGAGCGACAGGTCCTCTGGCATTCGGGGTCCCGACCCTGCCCCCGTTCAGCAGATATGCCTCTCGCCGACCCGGGTCCTCCTGCCAACACAGGACATAGGCAAGGATGGCAAGGTAGGCAAGCATGCCGCATGGCCTGCACAGCTCGCTCCCCTTTGTTTGAACCTTTGTTTCAGCTCTCGCCCCCGCCCCGGCCCGCATAGTATCAGGGCACAGATACCAATGTAAATCGCGTGCCCCGGTCCTGTCCCTGCATGGGGAAATGGGTCCCCAGAACTCAAACAGTTACGCAGCTGACTCTTCGGTGTTGGATGTTTCTGGACCAAGTGGAGGTACGCATTGTCCCAGAGAATCCCGATCCGCGCGAGAGGTCCTCTGATTGGCACTTGAGGGTCGGGCCCTGCGCTCCGGGTCCCTGAAAGCGATTTCCAGCCAGCACTTCGACCCCCCCCTGCCGTGCTCCCTGCATCCCACATTCTGTCTACGCCTCCCCCCTCCACGATGTTTCGGAAACTACCGGTTGAAAACAGCCCATGGTCAGGGTGCGTGGCGAGAGGTGTTGTCAATTTTTTTTAAACGTTAAACCTTGTGGTTAAATTCTTTTCAAGTTTAATGAAGCAAACCATGCTGAAAGTTGCTCAGTTTGTGCTTATTCGGTCATTGTGCTGATAAACCTTCTTATTATATTGGGATTCCGGAGCACTTGGAAACAATATTCACATCCGCAGCAAGGCAGAGCGGACTACTGAAACTAAGAACCAACTTTTGAGCTGAAGCTGTGCTTGACTCCATGTAAGCCACACTTCTCTTATTTACTGGGCAAGGGAGGAAGCAGCGGGCCGACCCAAATTAGTGGAGATGACACTTCTCGAGAAGCGACAAAGATAGTCAGAATGGTACAGCGGCATCAGAACATAACATCTCTGCTGTCCTGGCCAGACTCCGCGCAGTCTTGACACATCCGTTTGCAAAGGCTGCCTGCATGACGCGGCTAATGCAGGATCAGCACGCAGTCCAGTACGAAACGACTACCCCAGTTATACTTTCCATCACTTAGCCGATGCCTGCTGCAATGTTGGGTACGGTCCGTTCTGCCCTCTGACGTCACCTGACCTTTAGCGCGACCCCTGCCAACGGCCGCAGGCCTTCTTGTCTCGGGCAAATAGCGAGTGCCTGAAGCGACCCGAACCCACCACGCTGCACGGGTGGGTGGATTGGAATGCAGGTGCTCTGGAGAACTGGGTGATGGGTACGGACGAAATGTATCACGTACGCGTTGATTTTTCAGGTTTCCGATTAATTCATGTTTGAGACCATGGTAGCAGACCGTGGCGCGACGTGAACGGCGGGTAAATGTTTGGATTAAGCATACGACGGTCTAAAATTCACCAAGCCATAAGCGTATCGTGATCCATCAACGGTTGGCAGCCGAAATTTTCGAATATGCGAAAGTTAGTTGCATCCACTCTTCTGGCATGACGAAGACGAAGCACGTTCTCATAATCATGACCACTAATTGTTTAGTTCGACGCAAATAATGATTGGACGGAGTTTCCTTGTGTTTAAGCACCCACTATCCGGCTTCTTACTTCGAATTAAGGCCAACAGTACTTTGACATGTGGATTATAAATGACGAGCAAATCTTCTTCAACCTTTGTGACTTCGCCATCTGTCAGCTTTCAAATACCATGCTCTCATTATCACGATCGCAAATTACTGACATGGGCACCAATAATGATCGGTGAGTTCGCCTTGTGTTAAAGCCCTCCCCCCCCCCCCCCCCCTACCTGTTCCCACGTTTGTGGATCAAGGCGAAACAGTTTTTTGACAACTAATTGGGAGTAGCGAGCGAGTCTTCCCTAGTGTTAATGCTCTCATCATCCGTCAGTTTTTAAACAGGAGGAGGCTGGGGACGACACCAGGATTTTTTCTCTCGCATGCAAGAACAAATCAGGAAGATAGCTTAGATTTGCTGGATCGATCAAGCAGGGAATTCAAAGTGCGGAACATCTTAACTTCTCGAAGTGACAATCGAATGACAACTTAAGAATCATTGCCGACAACAATAAGAATCAAATTTGTCCGACCCGGTGGCTCAGTTGGTTAGAGCGCCTGCATTCCGATTCACCCACCCGTGACAGGGTGAGTTTGAGTCGCTTTAGGGCGATCGCTATTTGCCCTTGGCAGGTATGGCGTGCAGCTGGTGGCAGCGGTCGCGCTAAAGGTCAGTTGACGTCAGAGGGCAGGACAGACCGTGCCGAGCATGGCGGCACGTAAGGCTTTTGCCACTAAATTCTGCCGTTGCCTGGAATTGCGCGATCGGATGGTGGGGGTTAGGGCTCACACAACAAGCACTGCTTAGCGTGAGCGCTGATCCCAGAAATACACCCATTCAAAGGGTTCGGATCAAACTTATTTTAAAAATTGCTCTTGTTCTGAAGCAGCTGAAGGGTCAACACTTGCTCTATTCGTCTGGTGAACAGGTGTAACGCTTTCCGCGCAAGTCAATGGAAATTATGGCGACGTTAGATTACGCGACATTCGTGCATTCTTTCTGCTTTCGATTTAGTAGAAAAAGACCGTCTTGTAGAACATGTATTATCTACCAGCCTGAAGACGAGATTTCCCCATTTCTCTAAGTTATCATGAAGATGTTCTGTGTGCAATCACGGATCCTCGGCGTGATGACTCGACCACATCCATAATCACAGATTGCGACACAAGGTTTAGCTGTCAGCACCACAGGCGTGCAGCGTACAGCACGGCGGCCGCAGAGGCACTCCGCTCCCGCCGGACGCCTCCGCAACTGCAACTGCAACTGCAGACTCCTAGAGCCGGAGCAGCGACCTTGACGCCGCACCAGCTGGGACCGGACGGTGTCGGCGGGCCGACCACACCAGCTGGGACCGGACGGTGTCGGCGCGTCGACGGACGAGACCGACTGCGCCACTTTCGTCTACGTCTTCGGTTACAGTACGCGTTAGGCGGCTCCGGCAGCATGCTACGGCCAAACTCAAAATAATCCGTGCTCTGCTATAAGTCGGTGACGTCAGGAGTCGCCAGCCTGCACATGTCGTGAGAGCTGAGTGTTGTCAGAGCTGTTAGTTAC